GCCTGAAGATTCCTATGTGGAATTAGCCTGAAGATTCCTATGTGGAGTTTACCTGAAGATTCCTAAGTGGATATAACCTGAAGATTTCCTATGTGGATATCCCCTGCTCTTCTCTGTGAAGAGCTGGAAGCTCAGATCAAGGTCAGCCATGCTAAGTTAAAGCTAGACGCTTTAGCTCCTTCTGAACTCTGCTAACCAACAGTCTCTGGCCCCAGTCAAGACTTCAGTGATCCAGCCCAAACCAGTTTCAGAACCTGTTCATATTTTGTGTTTCAGAACTTTGAATAAACCTTTGAACTTTTTCCCTGCCTCCTCCGTGTGTGTTCTGCATATGGGCTTGCCTCTTTGACCCATCATGACACAAACAAGTTGAGTTATCTATTATGTAAGATCATTTCTTAAGATTTTTTTTAAGATTATGAGGTAAAAAAGGTTAAAAAACAAGAAATTATCTAAAAAGTGTATAGTTTTTTATCTTGATGAAAAAAAGAACAAAACATTTGCTAATATCACAATAGTCTTAAAATCAGATGTCTGATACAGTCTGAACTCCAACATATGTCAAAGAAAGGATTGATTGAGCTCTTTAAACATTTAAGACCCCTATAAAACAGCCTTTACCCAAGCTTTAAAGGTCCCTTGATACAATGTTTTGCATATCTGCATGCATATCAATATACTGCACCAGAAAGCAATACCTGATGTTCAGTAGTTTGAGAGCATTGAGCAACACCCCTTTCTTCACATCGTAATCGATCTTCTGATCAGTCCCAAAGCTTGGAGCTCGATTGATCTATCAAACAAAGCAGAAAACAGACATTTAAAAATTTCATTCTGTCATGTTCTGCACAATGAGATTGCATGCAATTATAGGAGCAGATTGTGGGCTTGTTTGGAGAGAAAAACAAGCAAAGGAAAGAGGAATGAAGCAAGCATGCAGACAGAGATCGAGGATTTTTATTTTTTTTCTCTTTCCTTTTGAGAGACACTTTAAAGCTGGTTTGGCCTTTTCCTGCATAAATCTTGTCTGGGAATGAAGTGTGTAAACATGTGCCTGAAGTAGAATCTGCTTGTGTGTTAGCACACAACAGTTTGTATACGTGACCCGGAACTTTAAAGCCTAAATATGTTTAAGGCAGACTCTATAACACAGCCACCACTAACATTTATGTCAGCAACAAAGAATTACTCAGCTTGGCTCTATTATTTACACTCAAAAGCAATCAGCGAGATTCATCCGAGCAAGGAAGGAGTAAGCCACATGGGATTGTAGGTACAAAAGCTGGCATCATCCACAAAATAATTCCAAGAACAGCTTACCTTTCTCAACAGAACAATTCCAAGCATCAGCATGAAGTATTCAAATATCAGTTATTATACTTGACACAACAAATCAATTCTTTTTCTCTTTGTAATTTTCCTTTATGTCTTCCTCCCATGGTGAGAAATCGCTTATGTGAGACAACAAAAGGAGCAACAAAGAAAGAACTGGCAACTGCAATTGGAACAGTGTCTTCCTATGAGGTGACTTCAAATGACAATGCAACAGATGCCCATCGAAAGGCTGGCGAACGTTGATAAACCATGATTGTTCTGATAAGTCAGGTCTCTGTCTGGCTTCATCTGTAAACGCAAGAACCACCCTTTTGTGTTTTGTTTTGCCTCAAAACAATAATTTGGGTTGGTAGGCAGTTATTATTATGATTTTAATGGCCCTAACAGATGATTTGCTTTGGGGAGGGGGGTTGTAAGCATGTGTCAGAATTGTTAATGGATATCTTTATGCCAAAAAAGACCCATAAAGGTGTATGCAGGAGCTTTTACCCACTGGGACTTAGATACCCGTATAGAACAGATGGTATATCTAGATGGCATATCATCCAGCTGCTGTAACCCAAACCAATAAAACATAGAGTTGGTCTGGTTTTAACCGTTTTCTGTCTGCCTCTTTATTATGTCACCAACTTTAATAAAGGTATAACAATTTATTATCTCCTTATCATTAGTATTGGTTTTAATTTATACAGACAAATGTTTAATTTACCTCTAACTCATAGATCTGTAAGTCCATCATAAGTGTTACCATTCCAGTATTTCTAGCAAATAAATATTTTTGTTAAAAGCAAGTTTTTATCAACTCTACTTAATCTTATGAAAAGCATTTTGCATAAGACAGAAATCACGACAAACAAAGAATAATCATCTCTTATTACCACAACAATAAGGCTTTTTAGGCTTATATTGTTCATCAAGATTCATTCATTGTATATAATTACATTAGGTATGGTGAATAAAAAACAGATTTGTGGGAGACATTATATCACTCCTTTCTAGATGTTTTCACTTAAATCGTTTGAATTATTTTTTAATTTCTTCGAACTAAAAGGCTGCATTATGATACTATGAAAAATGATTTGCCCCCTTTAAGGTTTGAGCTTTTGTCTTTTTTGTCGTTCTTACTTGTTTCATTGTCAAGCAAATGTTATTGTTAAACAAACATAGCCTGAAAAGAAGGAAAAATACATTTAAAAAGAATAAGAGTCAAATTGCACGGGTATTTAAAACCCAGAACTGCAATCAATAACCTTCATGTCTTTTTAATTTCTTAATACTCTAATGTAGATGTGCTTGTTTGTTTTTGATCATTGCCTGGTGCCTAACTTTAATAGCCTCAGGTCATTATCTGATGACCAGTCATTCTCCTTCAGTATTTCCGGCTAGACAGCACTATTCAAAGTTTCATCAATATGGCAAGACATCAAAGGCCTGAGGAAGCAAAGTATTCTTAGACAAAATAGACCAACATCACCATGCTTGATTGTCTGTAGGATATTTTTTCTCATGAAATGTTGTGCTGCCTTAGGCTGATTAATGAGAGACACAAGACTCAAAAAGGTGTCCATTGAATATTTGTTCAAAAGTGTTGGTGATCATCCAAAAAGTTTTAATTGCCGATGTAACTCCTTTGCAGTGATGTTTCCTCCCTCTAGGGTTGCCATAAAACATATTTGGTTTCTCCTCACAGCAGGGCTGGGAACAAAGTTTAAGGATAATATTTAGATCACAACCAGACTCTCAGGAACCGAGGGAGCAGGGGTGTTTAGTTTACTGCCAACTGTAGGCCAAAATAAAGTGGTAAAGATTAAAAGACTGCACATTAGGTTTACAAGAAAACTGTAAAATAAGGAGACATTACTAAGTCTCATGTGGATATAAGCAAAATGTTAAAAGTATTTACAAAAGATAGGGATATAGAGTAGGTATGTAGGGGAATAGACGCTTAGTTTTCTGAGAATTCTTTTAAATAGAATCTGTTCTCTGGTATCACAGCCACAGGTGAGGCACTAAATTCCCAACACTATGAACAGGGCCTGTATGGAGGAGGCTTTGTGAAGCTATGTGTGCACTGACGTGTGTTTTTGTGTGAACAACAACCATTTATCAGAAGGTGGGTGATGAATGCTTTCCAGTGCAAAGAGGGAAAAGGGAACAGAGACACTATACAACTCTTTCACTCAATGGAAATAAAGTATACAATGCATCCCTCTGTGTGTTGAGGACGGAGCTCCACTTCGACCTACCGTACCTCACCTCTGCTACAAAAGAAAAATAAGGAAGAGGTCTGTTTTCATTTAGAGTTCTCCACAGCTTGACAGCCACAATGAAAAGAGTGCTGCTTTCGAGTGCCGCAGCCAATAGGTAACAGGCGTACTGGCAGTGATCCTGGTGACGGTTGTCTCGTTACTTGTCTTCATTTCTTGGTTTGATTTGTGGTGTCAAGCTGTCATGGAATAAAACTGGCACAGCAGTGTTTGCTATCTCTTTCTGCTCTTCTTCGTGTCTTTTTATTTTTTTCTGTGTCTCTCTCTTCTGCTTCCTGGCTACTGCGCTCTGCCTCTTCTCACACTCAGTTTCAATTCACACTCTATTTTTTGCTGTCTTTGACAGGGCTTTCCGACTGGCCGCCGCTTAGCCTCCACTCTCCATTTGCTAGCCCTGATTCTCTGGTTGTTACCTCTCCTCATTCCTCTCCCCATATTTCTGCGCTTTCCTTTTCCTCCCTGGCAGAGAGAGTTGGGACCAGTCTGTTCCTAATGAACCCCTGCAGGCTCCAAAACCCCCCGCTCTGATTTCCTTAAGTGACTCTGGCAGGGTTTTAAAAGAGCCTTTGGTTGCTTTAAGACACATTCAATAAAAATGTCAGATGAACAGATGAGAACATTCTTTTTATTCATTTTTTAATTTGGTTCAGTATCATATCAGCAAGGCCAGAATGGTGAGGTTCAGTCAGACAAATGGCGGAATGTGAAAAAGTGAATGTAATTTTGAAAGTGTACAGGTAAAATAACTTCTTTTGTACATTCACTTTCAACTATGAGCTGGAGCAGGATTTTTTAAACCATTTTCATAATATATATGAGCTTACATATTGTAAACCGGGATTAGATTAGTCAGATTGCTTATTATTTTCACACTATAGAGCAATGTAAAATTCTGTTAGTCCCTCTTTGAACTGACAGTATTTTGGTTTTTTGCAGTGGTACACAGCTTGGGGGTGAGGAGATTATGATTTATTTTCATGGATCATAGGAATTCTTTCAACTTTGTTTTGTATTAAAAAATATTCAACTCTGGATGGTTATTGTATGTGGGCACAAGTCAAAAATTATTTATACTAGGGTGGAAACTAACGATTATTTTGCTAATTGATTAATCTGTTGATTATTTTTTCAAATACTCTATTCATTATCGGATAGCAAAAAGTTCCTTAAAGGTTATTATTTTCGGATGGATCATATTGAAAAAAGAAAAAGTATTTTTTATCTTAAAGGCAAAATGTGTATATACAATCTTGGTATAATTCGTGGTCTAAGTGGGTGGCTCCGTCAGCTAAAGGCATGTTTTAGAGTCTCTATACTTCAGTTAATGATTAATCGATTACTAAATGAGGTGACAATTATTTCAATAATCAATTCATCCGATTAATTGTTTCAGCTCTAAATCATACACTAGGAAGGTTTGGGTTTCATAATGTCTTTTTTATCACTGCTGCTTACCTTATCAAGGCTGCACTTCAAAAAAATAAAATTGTCTATAGAGCTGTTCTTACAGAAACTTCTTTTTGTTTACACTTGTGTATACACAATGACAAAATAAATCAAAATAAATCAGTCTAAGTCTAAAGTTTATAGTATTCTTTAAGTTTAACCAACCCGCTTCTTTTAAATTGAAATAATGGTGAAGTAGATGCTAGTTGCACTGCTCAACATGATGATCGTGGGTTTGATTCCCAGGCACTGATGGATGTTTTAATGATGGAGAGTAAGTACAAGTGACACCCAACCTGTTTATGCTAATACTGCCAAACTGGGATATGAACTAAACGCAAAAACAAAAAGTCATGGAACAAAATCATCACATAGACACATAGTACAAAGCACTTACGATCATATAATAGCATTAAATACATCATCCTGAGCTGCAATTACATTTAATGCCCTGCAGTGACTAAATTCAGCTGCTTTGCTGAAATACGTCTCCAGCTATGTCTCTATATGTGGGTTGATCTCCTACTGATTACTGAGTTGTAAATGTTTACATGAAAAAGATCCATAACGTAAATTAACACTGTGAAAAAATAGCTTTGATGGTACTAATTTAGTGCTCATTTTATGGCTGACAAAAACACGGAGTTTAGACTTTAAATTCCACATTTATCCTGATATCTTATGATCTAAAACAAAATCTCTATGGGCAGAAACCTTTGTAAAGGAAACTGAAATAAAACTTATC